GATATTGCTTATAGGCATAACGGCGCCTTCGAACTCGCTCAATTCTCCGGTAGTACAGAACGGTCGTCAAAAATCGTCACTACGATTTTTTTCATAGAATTCTAGTAAATTTACCTTTAACGCAATGGATAGTAATTAAGTGACAGCGTTACTCATCGTGCGTCTATATTTCCTCAGTCCTCAAGCTGCAGTAACAAGGTACGGATATGCGTAATTTCCGTAAGAATCATATCCCTGTACTCATCACATAAAAAGGAAGAAATTGGCAATGAAAACTTTGTCGACTGTTGAATTCAGTTCCTTAGCATTGCTTAAGCTTCAGGGCATTGTTTTCCCTTATATGCTAAAGGGCGTTCCGATCAATAGTTGGAGATCGAAATGGTCGTATTCCTGTTGCGGTTTCAGTGCGTGCCAACCTGTTGTCAGCTCTTGCCAAAGGAACGATCAGAAATTGTCAAAATTACATTCAGTAAATTTAGTACGGATTTATTTGTTCCGTGGAAACATCAGGAAGGAGGTGTTTGGCTCACGCTAGCTACTGTATTTGACATGACATTCCCAGATCAGTTAGCGGCAATGGCGGTGAACGTCAGCAGCGTCTAACATATATGATATAATGCAAAATTCTAAAAATAAATAATTCAACAATATAAACCGTTAATTGTGTACAACAAGTTTGTTTTTTTGGCAGCTAAGTACAAATCTCGTAAGCAATTTATTATGGTTATTAAAATTCTGCAGAGCTGCCTTCCACGAAACGTTTTTGCGGAACGATATGAAGCGGGAGGTTCTACTCAAATAATTACTCTAGGTATCCAGCTCAAATACTATCCTATAGATATATAATAGAAGAAAATAATTTGGGAATCTTCAGACAGGTAAGGCAGTGACAATTTTCAAAGTGTAAGTACAGTTAAGCACAACACCGTACGAGTATTTCGTCATACGTTCTAAGCTTCCATTTTTATTTTATCAGTACTAACAACGAAAGTTTTTATTACAAGCCGAGAACAGGTTTAGTGAAACTAGCTGGTATTTCCACATCGATAATACGCCTATTTTACATCAATCGAGTAGATAAATGCTTTGGCCATAAAGATGAAATGATGGAAAGATCATTTATATGTGACGGCGGAAGATATGGATGCTGAACTAGCTTTTAGAAAAAGCTACGCCTTGTCTAATCGTAGGTCTAGTTTCCCCAATCTCGACTAGCAAAAAAGTGAACGATGACCGTCCTAAGAATCGGTTGGAAAAGTAGACTGCATTCTATATATATATATATATATATATATATATATATATATACGCAGTCATTTAAGATAGGTCAGATCCATAATTAATTGTAAATATATCTATTCAAGTACGTGACCATTTCAAAAACCGCCAAACAATAGAACAGATTACTTGGAGGCCATGGCTTGTTTTCGAGCTACTTTTCCGTTGTGATCAGAACTAACGTCGCTGCGCCATTTTCGAACGTATTCGGATACCCAAATTATCGTTCATTAATCTGGAAAAAAAAGCCTTGAAGAAGTCACTTCAGTCTACCTCATTATTGAGGAATGAGACTGCAATGGCAAGTGTAGGAGGAAAGGGGAAATAATGTGGACATTGGTAAAATGAGCCGTAAGGTACAATACGCTCTCGGGCTCATTGGAAGTGGCACTGAAAACACACTTCGGCCTCGTGCCTTCTCGACGAATCCCCCAGGGACAAACCCAATCGACAGGGTATAGTCTATTGAAACCATCTTTTAATGATACATTCGTACTTTAGATGATGGATGATCTATACACTAGACGGTCGGAAACTTACTAGAGCTGATTTCGAATTTAGGCCACCTGAAGTGTCCTTAAGTTTAGTCGTCCAGCATGAGGGCCATAAGTGGACTATTTCAATGGAAGTATTGAATGCTTAAGTGGTCGGAAGTATAAATAGGATGTGCAGAAAATCGTATTATTTTAATGCAATCATTAGGGGATCAAGTGACGAGTCAAGTCGAGCACTTCTGGAAATTGCTGGAGCGTTAATATATTTAGCAATTGCGTTAATAACGAAGAAAAATATGTTGTCTGGTTGTTTCGATTTGCACCGCCAAGTGGCCTTTTAATTATAATCCAAAATGTCAAAACCACATAATTTTAAATGTTCCTTCTCAGTTCATTTAGAGTTATTTTAACCAGCGTAACTATGAGGTCAATGCACTTATTCCCAGTTACTTAAGTTCACGAACAAGTATATATAACTCGTGCATTGGTGTCATTATTCACTAGAATAACATAAATAAAAAAAACAACATAAATAGAAAAAATGTAGTTTCAAAAGCTCAGTCAAAAAAAAAGCTCAGGGTCAAAAAAAAACTGTACTTTTTTTTACCCGACGACTCAGGTGCTACGAAGCGCATCGCGAGGTCAGAGCGCAACGAAAAAGTCGTTACCCATCAGAATCGATGCTACGGAACAGAAGGATCGGGAAAAATGCTCACATACGGAGAAGCCACTTAGCAGTCGTTCGATTCCCTTTCGAGTCGGTCCCACGACGCATTTTTATTTCGTGTGCAAATATCAGAGGCGGTAGCTAGCGACCTTCTGGGACCATTTACGGTTATTGGCCTTCGAACCGGTGAGAATATCCCGAACAGCCGATACCGAGCAAGTTTGTATTTCATAGATAACAAAAAAACCCTGATCATCCAGGTGGCTACAGCTTACCTTTTTACGAGAGGCGGCATCAGTGTTAATTTGATGTGAGAAACAGGGACTTGTTTATAGGACCAACGCATGTTTCACAATTGAAATTTTAATGAACATATATATACATATATACATGGCATGAGAGATACAAGATCAGCAAGCGTATAGGTGACATTTTATGGCTTCTATTTATAATATTTTAAATACCAAAACATCTATTTTGCATTATTGCAGTATCGACGGAATAGTACCTCTCATTGCACCAGTATCTATCGTAACTAGATTGATCAGAGCGGCTTTCGGGACTTGTCAAATCAGGAGGTTGATCATGTTAAACGGAAAGCTGTTAACCTTCAAAGACTGATAGGTTACGCAGAATATCAGACTGAGGAACAGAGTTCTAGTCAGCTAACCCCGCAGAAGCCATTTAGCTGTCCCTTGACTCTCGTTTGAGCTACGCGATGCATTTTTACGTTATTTGCCAATTGCAGCCAAAGCCCGTAACAGTGCTATGGGAGCATTTACAGACCAGACTTTTCGACTTACGACTAGGTCGCCCAGAACGACCACTGCCTCTATGGACTAATTTGAATAAGTTACTTTTCGCGAGAGAGAATAGGCAAGCAAACATTTTTAAATTGAATCATTGGCAAGATAAAACCTGCTATTGGATGCTTTCTGCGAGGGTCCGGAAATTCGTAACCTCGAAGTAACGAACAGTATTTGTTAACAAAATACGGACCATCCTTAACCCAAAGTCGAAACAAATATTTGTCATATTTTAAAGTAGTCGTAGTAACCTGAATATACGTTATCTCTGCCTACTTATTGGCAGCATCATAACTCATAACTGAATAACTTATACGAAAAATTGTGACATCCTTCCATTGACATCAAGTTAACACCATCAAAGGAGTTCTGCAGAAACTGAAACAGATCATAGCCTGATGCTGCAAGATTTGAGCTATACGGCAGATGCATTTTAACTTCTCATTCAAGTTTTTTTTTGTCAATTTTTCCCTGATAGCTAAAGGCCTATCGTTTTTGTGGTGGAAGACGACTCCCTTAGGTACAATAGCCCCGGTCAATTTCTTTTGATGGTTTGGTATAATTTTGTTAGTTGTTGACAGTAAACACCGGCAGCAATTATTTTATTAGGCAACAGCAGGTCATAGTATACGAGTCCTCTCCAATCCCACCATACACCGAGCATCGTTCCTTTTGGCGTCAGTATCGACTCGTTTGTCCTGTGAAGCTTCTCCTCGTTGCCGTTGTACGATCCACCTTTCATCATTCGTCGTTGACCGCTATGAAAGTAGTTTTTTTAGACAGAATCGCAATGTTTTTTTTTGTTGGTATCTTTATTTGAGATTTTTTTCAAAATTATCGAGCTCCTGGTTGTAGCCAGCTTTCTTCAAATGGGTTAAAATTATGTAGTGGTGGATGTTTACCTCGTTTATAATGTCATAGTTACTTACGGGTCAGTGTTGCTCAACTTTCGCAATAATATCATCAAGCCTTTCCTAATCGCTCGATTACTACGAGGAGCATCTCTTACACGGAGATTTCTAAGAAAACGCGGCAGAACCATTCCTGAGGACCGTTTCTTTCAGTAGTGCATCTTGACCATGAACGAGACCAATTTTTTACGGGCCTGGTTAGTATTTGTGGCTTTGTCGTACAAAAACTGAAGGACATAGCGAATTTTAGCAAATATCTTTAAAGGCATTCGAGCAACTTTAACGCATATGCTATTATCAAAGTTCAGCTGTCAAATGACGCTAAAACCAGCCCGGCTTGTATCGCTTGAGGTAAGCGACCTTGAAACTATCTAGCTAGAAAAGCGACAAATATGTTTTCCGCAACTCAATATTACGTCAATTCGAAACTTGAACGTATATATTGATTGTCATTATTACGTCCGTAACGGGATGGAAAGCGTTTTGTAAGGGCTAAAAGAAAGCTTGAAAAGCCGCTGCCGATAGGTGAAATCTGTTCAGTAAACGATCCTGTTGTGCATTTAAGCTGCCCACATTTCTTTTGCCAGGACCTAATAGAATACGTTCACAGCATCTATCGTCTAGAAAAGCGTGTAGTTATTAATCTATCTAAAACAACTGATGACACAAGACTTTTTGTCGAAAAATAGCAAATTTATTCTTGAAACCT